GGTGGGAACAGCTTACTGGGGAGGTGGTCCCAGAAATCATTGAGGAGACAGGGAAGGGAGGACAGCCAGTGAAATGTGACAAGCAGGTGACGCTATTCCGCAGGAGACTATGTGGAACATACTCAGAATTGTTCCCCTGAAGGTGGTGACACTGGGTTGTCGCTTGCCAGCTCCCATTGCTCACTGGTTGAGGACCCCTCCTGGATACAGAGTGATGTGAGTGCCATTACTTTGCACACTGCTTTCTGCAGTGACCTCACTGGAGGGTATGTGACATGCAGGACATGGTGGTGTCTGCTCCCACCTCCCAGTTGTTCAGGTGGTCCACTGCACAACTCCAAGGGGACTAAAATGTGTGCAGGCACTGCCAGAATGGGGGTACAGCAGGAGTGTATTTCAGTCTTTTCTCAAAGAAAAGGTAGTGAGACATTCTGAGTCACTGAAAACCTGAAACACCACACACTGAGATCTTGGGGAGGGGATAGGAAAGGGACTTTTGTAAATAAGTGGGTATTTTCTTGTGGCAGGCATGAGAAGAGAGGGTTACTATTTTTGATGCCCTCAGCCCTAGGTCCTGATATTCAAAAGGGACCATATGCAATCTTGTATCATTTCCCTGTTCAGAAAGAGGGGATTGGACCTCAGGGGCCAGAATATGAAGGTGTCATGCCGGTCATTCCTAAGTGCCTGTTCTAGGGCCTACAGCATGTTAAAGCAGAAAACGAGAAAAAAGAATGTCAGAAGGTGGTGCGTGGCCTGTACAAGCACTGGCAGCTTCCCTATGTGCATTGATGGTCATTGGCCTCAAACACGCCAGCTCTAGAGCCAACCTGCATGCATTTCAATCTCAGGCCACCTCAAGAAGCAGGAAGAGCATCAGGAGTGTCACACGCAGAGACACACACACACCCCGAGGCTGCTTTTCCTCCGGAAGCCTCTGATTCATCTCAGCCTGCCTAGGCCCATTCTGTGGACACCTGAGCTGGGACTAGGGTGGGGGCAGGGGACAGAAGCAGGAAACACACACCCCAGGGTTCTCCCTGTGCATGTCCAAAGCCCACGGTTGCCCTGGAGCGGGGTTTCCCTAACTCAGGAGCAGGAAGCAGAAGGACAAGGAGAGTGGACATCTCTCTCCCAGTTCCCACCCCAGGAGAAGCACGCACACTGTGGCACAGATAGGGGAATAGCACGCTAGCCTTTGTGCCTGCTCTCATTCACTCAGCACTCGTTTATTGAGGACCCATTATGTGCCAGGTGCTGAAGATATAAAAGTGAAGTGGCCGGAGCAGCCCCTGCCCTCACTGTGCATATGGCTTAGCAGTGGGTGGAGGGCAGCAAGGCAGTTTCTTCCGGTGCAGTTTGATCGGGGATATGGTAGAAAGAGCCAGAGGCATAATCATGTGGTCTGGAGCAGTCTCAACCCTGGCTGCATATTAGAATCTCCTGGGAAGATCTTTAAAACTCAAAATGGGTTGTAGGCCTTATAACCCAGCAATTCCGCTCCTACGTATCTTTTGGTATATTCACCAAAGGACATGTACAAGAATGTCTATAGCACCATTATTTGTAATAGCCACAAACAAAAAACTTACCTCAAATGTCCTACAGCAGTAGGATGGATGAATAAAATACACAAAAAATACTGTATAGCAAATGTAACACAGAGTGAAAGAAGCCAACCCAGAAGTAACGGACTGTGTGGTTCTGTTTACATGAAGCTCAAGACTAGGCAAAACTAGTCCATGGTGACAGAGGCCAGAACACTGGCCACCTGTGGGGTGGGGGTGTTGGGAGGGATAGAGAATCGCTTCTGGGTTCCCAGAAATGTTTCACGTCTTGATCTAGGTCAGTGGTTCTCAACCGGAGGCAATTTTTTCTCCCAGGGGATATTTGGCAATGTCTGAAGACATTTTTGGTTGCCACAATTTGGGTGGGAGGAGGGGTGCTACTGGCATCGAGTGGGAGGTAGTCAGGGATGTGCCTTCCCATGCACAGGACAGCCCCCAGAATAAAGAATTATCTGGCCCAAAATGTCGGTAGAGCCAAGTTCAGGAGTCCTGATCTGGGTTATGTGTAAAACCTCACCTAGCTCTACACCTAAGAGTCATGGGATTTGCTGTACTGTATTTGTTATACCCAGGTGTGCTGGAGCTGGCTTACCTGTGCCATTTGGAAGAACATCTCTTTCCAGTTCTACAGCCAGTGACATCACATTGGTAGCTCGAAGTTGGTCACTTTGAAGTGGGAGTATTTATAACAAGGAAATTGGCAAACACTACAAACTAGGGCTTCTTTTTTCTGGAGAGTTGGTTGTTAGACATTCACCAGTGTAGCACTGGCTATATTTGAGTAAAAAAGAAGAAAAAGAAAAGGATGTTCAGTCCCCACCTGCTACCGTTCTGATTTAATTGGAATGGCCTGGCCTCATCTTTTGCTCATTTGTTTTAACTCCCCATGCAAGTCTGATGCATGGCCAGGTAAGAGCCCTGCTCTGGGGGGAGGGGAAGGAAGCATTCTTCAGGGAGGTGATAAGTTGAGGCCTCCTGGCTGTTGCCGAGGCAAGATCTTGGCAGGAAGAGGGTGACGGAGACAGAGAATAGCACCTGCAAAGGCCTGGTAGAGACAGGTGAAGTTCCCCTCGGTCACAACATTTTTCTGTCTATGGGCCTCGAACACCTGCGTCAGTCACCTGGACTGCTTCTTTCAAAGGCAGGGTCCTGGACACAGCATTTCCAGGTTGGGCCCCAGGCATCTGCACTCTTAACAAACTCCACAGGTGCTTCTGCTCCACGGCGAAGGTGGAGGCCCCTGCCGGGGAGGAGCTGGAGGAAGTCAAGTGTGAGTGGAGCATAGAGAAGCAAAGATGGAATTGGAGAGGCTGGCACTACCCAGCTTTGCAAACCTCCCTGTGCCCAGGACTCTCCTGGGTCATGTTAGGATGCGCATTTAGATTCAGTGGGTCTGGGGCTGGCCTGAGCCTTTGTACCTCTAACAAGCTCCCAGTCAGGTGCCACAGGCTGAGGACGACACTTTGAATAGTGGGGCTGTGTCTATGTTTCAGTGGTGGGATTTTGATTCTGAGAGCATGGGAGAGTCGACAGTGGGTTTTAAGTACAGAGGGATGTGATGAGATTCCAGTGCCAGATTCCCCTCTGGCTGCTGCCGCTGCCACATGAAGGACAGGCTAGAGGGGAAAGCATGACTGTAGGGACTGTCAGATGGCCACTTTAGCAAGGTGCGTGGTGGGGCATGGCGAGGGCGGGGCGGGTCCTGCTGCCTCCTGCCAGGCTGGCTGACTCCAGGCTCAGCCCAGTCAAGCCCCCTTGGAGCCCACAGGAGTCTGGGTTCCAGCTCATGCCGTTAGTTCCTCAGGATATCACCCTGAGAAGCACGGCGCTGCCAAGACATTTCCAGGCTCGGGTCCATCACGCCTCATTGGTCAGTCTCTTCAAGATAAAACCCATGATGTCCTCCAGGCCGTCCACGGTGCTCTCGGTGTGCACACGATGTACTCACATGCAAAGGAACAGACAACTTGACCCAGGTTAGCATGGCTCTCTGGAAAATCACCGGTCTGAGCCAGACAGCCTTGAAAATCCACTCCTAAATCCCAGCAAAGGCAAACACGGGAAATGGAGTGTGGAACATTTGGGGAGCAAATTAGATCTGAACCGAGGGAGATGTTTAGGCCGCCCCTCCCCCCACGGACCACACACAATTTTCCATCAACCATCGAATTCTCGGACTTTAGTTAATGGATTGTTTTTTTCCCTCAGCAAGTTTAAAGTGTATTTATTAAACACCCTTGGCGGGCTCAGCTCAGGCCTTGTTCGTAGGCATGTGCTAGGTAAATTTAGACCCTCCCTGCACATTGGGTCCCAGCTCTGCACAAGGCCCTTGGAGCTGCTACACAGAACGCCAGCAGCATGGCCCGGTGCTCACTCCAAGTGCATCCATGTCTCTCTGGAGGCACAGGGCACACACACATGTGGCACATTTAGGGGAGGGGGGCTGGAGGAGCAGCTATTTTTAATCATGCCACTATGCTTGGATCATTTAGAGCAGTGGATCTCAGCCTTGACCACACACATGGGGAGCCTTGAAAATGACTCATGTCCAGACCCCACTCCAGAGATTCCAATCTACTTGGGCTTCAAGATGTTTAGAAGTGCCCCCAGGAGGTCCTGGTGTCCAGGCAGGAATGGAAGGCTCTGGTTTAGAAGGAGTTCAGGGGCAAGAAGGGTGCGAGCAGCAGAAGAGAAAGATCAAGGGCGACTTCATGGAGGAGGGTACCTGCACAGGCTCTTAGGGGATCTTGGAAGCTGCCCTAGTGGGGGTGACCATGGGCTTTGCAGTCGGAGAGCTGGTTTCAAATCCCATCTCCCTCAACGCATAAGCCTTATAATCAAGGGTAGGTCACTTAACCTCTGGAAACGTCTTTCTTTACCTGTAGAACGGAGGTGGTAAGACTCACTATTCAGCGATGTCTGTGAGCATCTGTGTGATAGTACTTAGCACTGTGATAGGAGGACCACAGAAAGGAAGCCCATTGCGGGTAGCACTGTCCCTCAGGATGCGGCTGCCGGGAACCAGGTATACTTGGCAGCACTCAGTGAAAAGAGGAGGGACCTCAACCGGGTCGAGGCTCAGACAAGTCCTGCCATAAAGAGGCCTATTTCATTGTGTTTGGCCAAGTATGTCCTAAACAAATGTCACATTCATGATGCCACCAAGCTCTTTTCTCAGTTAACACCTGCACAAGCATAGTTCCTCCAGGCAGTAGGAGAAGCTGTGACTGGGGGGTTGCCAAAAAGGGATGGGGGGTGCTGCCCAAGGCTGTAGACAGGTCAGCCCTGCAGACTCCAGGTCCCAGACCAGAATTCTGGGGTTTGGGATCCCATTGCTGTGGGTTCTCAGGTGGAGGGCAGATGCTGACTTTCTCTCTTGGCTGGTGGGCGGGCCCTGGAGGACATTGTGGCATCAGGGTGGGAGGGGCGCACTTAGACCACAGGAAGCAGCTAGAAGTGAAATCGCGTAGTAGGTCTCATAGGTGTGTCAGGAAGGTGGCCAGGGAAGGCATCTTGGTGGAGGTGAGCGCCAAGAGCCCTATGGCTGTTGCGGGGAGATTAACATGCACTTGTTTGTTCACCAGATGTTTATTAAGCACCTACTATGTGCCGGGACTGCTGCATGGGCTATAGAGATAGGCAGCCTGGGTTTGGATGCCATCTCCACCTCTTCCTGTCTGCAAGACTTACGCAGGCTGCTTACCCAGGCTGAGCCTCAGTTTCCTCATTTGTAGAACAGGGATGATGATCTTCTCCTAGCCCGGTCATGGGGATTCCGGGAGGCAGTTAGCATAGTAGGCCTGGTATGTTGTGAATGCTCTTTAAATTTGTAGCTTGCAGGTTTGATGACTTCTCTGACTGCCATGGGCCAGCCCAAGAGAGCTAGGGTGTGTGCCAGGTGCCTGTACTCACACCCCTCTCCCTCCTCTTCCCCTAGCCGCGACAACTCCCCAAGCCTGAAGGAGATCCGGAACGGCTGCCAGCAGCCATGCGACCGGAAGCCCACCTTACCTCTGCGCCTTCTGCACCCCAGCCCGGACCTAGTGTCTCAGGAAGCCACGCTGTCCGAGGCGCGGCTCAAGTCGGTAGTCGTGGCCTCTAGTGAGATCCATGTGGAGGTGGAACGCACCAGCACTGCCAAGCCGGCGCTGACGGCCAGCGCGGGCAACGACAGCGAGCCCAACCTCATCGACTGCCTCATGGTCAGCCCCGCCTGCAGCACCATGAGCATCGAGCTGGGCCCCCAGGCCGACCGCACTCTCGGCTGCTACGTGGAGATCCTCAAGCTGCTGTGAGTGTCCCCTCTGCATGCCTACCGCCCACGGGGAGTGTGTTTGGGGGGTGGGCGTGGCTGTACATCTCTGTGCCCCTGGGCCTGGGTGTCTGTGTGGTTGCGTGTGCACATTGTGTTGTGTGTGGTTGTGTGTGCATGTAGGTATCTTCTGTAAGGGGAGTATTTTTTGGAAAACGGAATTACTATACCATGCCAAGGTCTGTCCCACCCTCTGCTTTGTGCAGACTGGGCTGGGGGAAGAAGGTCTCGAGAAGGAGGCGGGAGATGAGGCCCAGGTCTGCTCTGGGCGGTGCCCCTTCTGAGCCAGATGCTTCGGGCCTATCACTGCCCCCCCCGAGTCTCAGTTGTGTGGCTCTGGAATGTGTGCGTGCTGCGAGGGGGGTTAATCCTTGACCAGACGCAATCAGTGGTGGTTACTGGACTTTTTGGAATGGATTGGGGGTATGCCCGTGTTTTCATGTCTAACTGATGCTCGGAAACCTATCCAAAGCCAGGGGCACCAAGGACTCTGCATCTGAGGGAGG